TGGTTGCTGCCTGGCAACGTATGTGGTGTCCTGACTTTAAATATTGAATTTATTCCAGAAAGCCTAAGTCTACAGACTCAAGCAGGGGAGTCTTATATTGCCTTGCATTCGCCATTTCATTTTAAAGGAATGTTTTACAAGTGGGAGGAAGCCAGAGTACATGCGTGAAACTCACTCACATGAAAAGACAGACCTCTCACAAACCCTGGGAGCTTTATTTTCTACTTGACCATGATGCTGGCCTGTTGATTTGAGTCTTCCAACACATTACAATCCCTCTGTCTCTTTTGTATGGCAGAGGGAAAAGGTACAGTTTAAAAACATTTGATTGTTGAATGGTAAGTTATTTCAACCAATCCAAGGAGGCAGTCAACACTATATGGATTGAAGTGACACTGCCAGGATGTGTACGGATGGTGCATTAGCCAGTGATGTGGTTTGATGGTTTGGATTCACCACAGTCCCAGTTTAGCGATTTTTTTATATTCCTTTTGTGGAAGGTATACGCGCATTTCCCATGTTGAGTTCGAGTGTGGTTGATTTTAAATCTAGATTGAAAACTATTTTTTAGAACTACTTTTTATGTTTACTTTGTTGTCTTTCCCCCGCGCCTCTGATTCGCACGGTTGGATGCGTACGGTCCGAAAGAAGTTCAGCATACATTAGAGACGTCCATGATTGTCGTAGGAGGGAGAAGCCTGGTCCTTCAACAGTTGTGTACTCAATTACTTTTTTGATTGCCACATCCAAAGTCACACCCCACGATTTCATTCAACTTTTACACGTGCCCGCAAATTTCTGCAATATGATCACTCGTGGTTTTGTTTTCTTTCTGGCTTGTCCGAGGTGGTGGCGATAGATGAGCATCTGGTCGAGAGTAACTCCTAAGTAGCGGGGGTGGTGGTCGTGTATTAGCAGTGTTCCACAGAAGTTGACATTGGATATTTTCGTATATATATTGGCCGTTGTTCAGGTAGAAAACGGATAGGATGCTCTTGGAAGTGTTCGGCTTAAGCCTCCAATTCTTAAAGTCCCCTTGTAAGGTCTTTTTATCTTTTTCGATGATCTTTCCAGTGTCCTGTTTTGTCTGTGCTTTGGTTTTCAGCGAGATGCCATCTCCGCTTGTGAACTTGCGGGAGGATGTTGCCTGATGGTTGCTGCTGTAGAGATTGAATAGCTCTGGGGCAAGAATGGATCCCGGCAGGAGTCGATTGTCAAACCTTAATGGGCTTCTGGCAGCTTCACCAAGGTGGATGGTGAACCATCAGCAGCTCAGAATTGCTGTTATGAGTCTTGTCGGGTGGCAAGGCACGGCTGTCGGAATATTTGGCAGGAGACCCTTCCGCCATACGGTATTGTATCCCGAGGGGAGGTCGATGACTGCCGTTGCTGTTTTGAGCGGACGTTCGAAGCCTGCCTCAGCGTGACTTGTTAAATAAAGCACTTTATCGCAAAAGTTTGGGCCCATTTTGTACCCGGCTAGTTCCCTGCGGACTACATCCTTGAGCGTAGGCTTCCACCTTTGAAGCAGGAGTCGCTCCCTTAGCTCCTAGAATGACGCTGGGGAAGGAAATTGGGCGGTAAATTTTAGCATCCGATGCGTTCTTGCCAGGTTTAAAAATGGCTACAATCTTCGCTGCTTTCCACCCCTTTGGTACTACAACTAAGCAGGGGATGTCGTTGAAGAAAGTGGCCAGCTATTTCCTCGCTTGTGGTCCCAAGTTCTTCTTACCCTGATTCGGGATAAATCCCATTGAGGCCTGTGGCTTTGCCGGATTTCATCTAAGCAATACCAGAGTCTACTCCCCCCCCCCCCATTGAGAAAGCACTGGAGAATGCCGAGTTTTGTTGTAAGCGGTCGAGAGTGCGGTAGAGGGTTTTTTTGTAATATTTACGTGTTGTGTTTTTTGTCAATTGGCGCTCGTGAATTTCTGATTAGCTTTCCAGCAATGTCATCAGGGCTGACTCGGGAAAGTTTGTAATCTGGAGTCGCTGCTGTATGAGGCCTCTGCTGTTTTGTGCCACCTGTCTGCTTACCAAGCTCAGTGACTCGAGCAAGGCTTTTGCAGTGTCCTTTTTTCTGTTTGATATTGAATTGTTGTATGTGAACATATCCTTGGCCTTGGCCACAGTTGACTCAAACTTAATGATGGCCTGTTTACGATGTGTCAACATCAGTGCTAGGAAACAAAGGTGACCAAGAATGAGTGATGCCCGTTAGATTTGCACATTGTTTAAAATTTCTGGCCAAAATGTGTGTAGTGAGTCCAACTGAGTCGCAGACGTTGTTCTTTAGAGGCAACACATTTATTCGTAACATCAACACGTAACACAAAGGGGTAACTGCCCCTTCACCAAATACAGTCTAGGGTGGTGGCCACCCAGCTAACTACCCTATACGGAGGGGTTACAGCTACGAAGAGTCTGACCCTCACTCGGGTCCCGACCACGTGTTGATGCCTGTAGAGCTTCCAGCTTGTAGGACGTAGAGCTTCAGCATGTAGGTGTTGAGCTTCCAGCTTGTAGAATGCAGCCTCCCCGGTCCCTCTCAGGGACCCACCTTATATCCCCCTGGGTCGGGGCTGCTCCTCCCAGGCCCCACCCGCCTTCTCGAGCGTTCCAGCTCTCTCTCGATCCCTCTCGAGAGCTCTCCCTGGACACGTGATCACCCCCTAGCCCCCCCCCCCCCCCCCCCTGGGGGCCTCTCTGTGGACACTCCGGATCACGTGTCTACGGGGTCAACCCGAGTGCCATAACCCGGGGCAACCCTGCCCCTGGGCTGACACTCTTCCACTCCCCCTTGTGAGAGCCCGCATGACACGTTATGCGTGGTGCACACGCTATATCCCAGCGCACGCCAAGCCCCGCTAGGGCTGGTACTACACCTGCCTATGGGGTGTACGCGATGACGGTGCATCGCGCGCCACGGTCCTCTCGGGCCGGCACCATACAGTGACATCCCCGATGTCACTGTATGGTGCTCACCAACTGTGTTTGTCCCTATCAATGAGGCTAAATGCGGGGATTTTTTTTTATTTATTGCCCGTGTGTAATTTTTATATAATGGAAAAAAAATTCTAAATCCTATGCATGGGTTGAGTCCTACAAAACATTCCACGGAGTTTACCGTGACTGTTCTAATGGGAGTTTCAAAAGGATTCTGAAATTCTGAGGGTTCGTTATTAATTTTACAGAGTGACCAAGAGGTCGCTGCAATTGCTCACTGTTCATAATCCAGGCTAAGAATCTCCGAGTCACCTCCTGAGGCTTAATGAGAATGTCACTACGCTTTGCCATATAAAACTGGCGTGCCAGCTTGGTTGATGTTATATCTTAAGGCAAATGATCATAATGGTGTCGGATTGACATCTGTGTAGCTATAGAGCACCTTTCCATCACAGACAATAGAATGCCATTGATGAGGAACTAGGAGCTTGGCTTTGACTCATGCAGGTGATGTTCTCTACCGGATTGTATCCATTTGATTTGTTGTGGAGCAGAGCCTTGTCCAGAAATACCAATAGCATAAATTAGCCCATGCAAGTGGTGCACATACAACAGTTGAGTTTGTTGTATTGCAGTGCAGGATGCTTATTCCATTGATGCTTCACGTGTATTATTCTTGTTTTGTTTTCCATTGTAAATGTGTTTTTGTGTTGTAACGTTGTGCCCGGCTGTACAGTACTGCAAATGAGGTGATGATGAAATGTGACACTGATAAAAAAGCTAAGTGCACTATTGTACGGAGCCATGAGTTTAGCTAAGCATATTTGACCCTGAGAGTAGGTCCTTACTGTCGGCATAGATGGAAATATTTGGCTTTTGGTGTCACTTTTAACCCCGTTTATTTGAATGCACGTGGCTGCTTGCATTCTCACACATACAGAGAAGAATACTCTGACGATAACTGCAACTGCTGATAGCTTTCAAGTTTCAGAGACATTTCATGCATTCATTGCGTTTTTTGTATTATCTTGTTTAAAGAACGGGGCTTTCATTGTGTGTTGTCTTTGTTTCTGATGTGGCTTTTTTATAGACTCTATCTTTGTATGTGTGCATGTGTGTATGTATGTATGAGGAGCAGTAGCCAGCATTCTTGATTCTTGGTCATGTAATAATATTTGAGTGTTAAGACTTTTTAAAAGGGTCCTTCATTTGGTTGTTTGGTAACCTCCATTTAATGAGTGTTTGGCATGCGAGTAGAAACAGGAACTCAACGTACGTGATGGAATATAAACACTGAAAAGCTTCGCATACATACATTCAGTCCACACGGACTCAAATCAGTGAGTTGAACAAATCTATCGGGATGTCTGCCAGTTTTGTACTGGCACCTCGCAGCCCTCAGCGATACGCCTACAACACCTATACACTTGTGATCAACCAACCAAGCACAAACCAGGCTCAACTTCATTGCTGGCATGGTCCAATGAGATTTGGGGCATTCAGCGTGATTTTATACGTACGTGTACATACATCGACGCACACGTACGTCGTCAGAACAGAGCCGGAATAAAAACTAGATTGAAATAACTTTACCGGTGCCGAGGCTCCTGCAAGGCCATGTGGTAGGGCAAGTTGCACAGTTTTACGCAAGCTTATCATAGAGTGCGGCCGTGTCGTTACGGTTCTCTGCGGCGAGTACAATGTCTTGAAATGCTGCAGCGCTACGCCTCTCCTTTTAAAATGTACGTAAAACCGCTTGCGCATTTCGAGATTCAGGGGTGAACAGGACCCACCCTGCAACTTGCAGTCTCGGAATGGGAAAGGGTCATTATCTGACCTATTCTGCACCTCCTTTATTGAGGACCATGTAAAGTTAGTACCATGCGAAGTGTATGAACATCACCGCCTGGGAGACAGAGAGAAGTGGTGCTAGCCACATCATTCCACCATGTTGCTGTGCTTGTCTTAATAGGTGCTTGCAAACGGCTCATTTGTCCTTATGGTGTCTAAGGCTAAATGGGGAATGTGTGTGCATTTTGTGTATTTTTTTGCAGATTTTCATTGAGCGATCCAGCAACAACAAGCACCTGAATACAATCAACATCCGGCACATTGCCAACTCCATCCGAACCCACGGCACGGGCATCATGAATACTACGGTGTGGGGCAATCATTCACACTCTCCCTCTTTGTTAAAGAAAAACTAAAGAGAAAACACATTGCTCTTATGGATGCACATGGGCTACCTGACACATTGCTGTATCCCTGTGTCATTACGGCACACTGTAATGTCACTTTGAAATCCTTTTGCCATTATTGATTCGTAAAATGCAGGTCAGATTGGTCACATAACCCGTGTGCCAGTTCACACAATCTATGTGGTGTATATACAGGGCACGCACTCTGTGTTTGGTAGCATCTGCCTTTAAAATGCTTTTTCATAAAATTGCATTGGGTGTGTGGCGTGGCAACTTCCCCAAAACGCAACACTTCTCCCAGTCATTCGCTTCACACATAGAATTTTTTCCACCAATACACACGTATAGTCAGTTTTTACTCGTGTGACACTGTTAGCCTTTTCCGGCTGTGGTTATCCCTATGCTGATTACTTTACCACTGCGATTCTCGCTATATGTCTGCATGCTACTTTGTGGTTTCTTTGAAATTAGGTATGCGCCTGTGATACGTCAATTCCACTTTTGTGAAAATCACTCCGCTCTGTGGGTGGACATATATTCCGTGTTTTCAATGGTGTGGGCCTCTTCCTCAATAGGACAATGATTGGTCTCCTACAAATTGGTACCAACTTTATCGATCCTGTAGAGATGATGGGCTGAGTTGACTCCCAAACTGTGATTTTAACTCTCACAACCTTCTGATTGTGACTCAATAATTCTTACCAAAATAAATTTTAACATACGCAAATATTTTCCGTATTTTGTTCAGATGATTGGTCCCACTTATTTAATAATGTTCACAATTTCACAATCTGCTCCAATAACCTTTAATCATACTGTGAAGGGCAGCGTATACATCAGGCATAATATATTCCACTTCCTGCTCTTCATCTGAGAAACAATTTTTTCGTATTGCATGAAACAACAGAGAAGGCAATTGAAGGAAGAGGAGAGTTACAAAAGAGATAGAGATGCATAGTAAGACATTGAATACATTTTTATAACTCTATAAATTGATTCAGAAAATAATTATGAAATAAATCGGAGACCACAACACAAAATAATTGAAGATGATGTCATACCAATTAATTGGGTGTATGATGATATCAGAAAAATAAGGTTGATGATTGAGAGTTCACAGATGGTAGATGCTCTTAAAGGACACAAGAGATATAATCTTAAAATGAATGGAAGAACCGTATGTAGATCTTAGCAAAAAATATTTCTGTTTCTGAAATCAAATCATTTTTCAAAACGCACTTATGTCAATTTAGTTTAAAATGAAATTCCAGAAAAATTCAATGATTTAATGTTTGGAGTGTTTGATCTCGCTCTGCAATCACCTTCATTTGCCGAAGCTGTGTTCCGGTGTCGCTCCGCAGGTGAACTTCACGTACCAGTTCTTGAGGAAGAAGTTCTTCATTTTCAGCCAGTTCATGTACGACGAGCACATCAAGTCGCGGCTTATCAAGGACATTCGTTTCTTTAAGGAGACCAAGGACCAGAGCAACCCAAAGGTGACCTCAGCATAATTATCGCTGCTTGTAACAATCTCAGCCCAATCATGGATGACTGCACAAAATATGCCATTACATTTGGTTTTGCACTTGGTTTGGCTAAATTCTGCTTCTTAGAATTAAAAAAATATAGTTTTACTGCCATGTGACAAAACAGTCCTTTTGGATAGTATATGGGAAGGTGTGCCCCCTATTGTGTCAAGGGTTAAAGAGCACTTTAAGGATTTTTGTGAGAATTGTGAAATTCCCACCATAGGAATGTAGAATTTTCACCATAGGATTCAGTGCAACTTACCAATGGCATTGCAGACTTTACGAACGAGTTGAAAACCTCCCTATTGCTCATTTCAGCAGACGTATGATTAACTATTCACATAGTGGAAAATAGTCTAGCATAAACTCTTTCTAAAACATAAATATAGTGTCTATGCATCATGGATATTGATTCACGCATATATGCATGCACATATATAAATAAATAAAACGGTGTTAAATTGAATCACTCCTTGCACTAACATTCACAGCATATGTAGGCTTTTAAGAAAATACCTGGAAAAGTGCTATGGAAAAATGATTGTTTTGTGGTCATAATACAAATTACCTATGAGGTGTTGATTAATGTAATTTGGAAATACTATCAAATTTGCATATGCTGTATGACAATTGCGTCAAAGTAACTATCTTATTTGGTAGTTTAGTCAAATGTACATTAACACATTTAAAATCACAAAATGAGTTGATTAGGAGAGATTAGTATACATTTTCACACCCTTACAGCTTGTGTGATGGTCATGGTTCTATGATTTACAATTCTGCTTCCTCGTGATGACAGTACCCGTTTGAACGTGCGGACAAGTTCAACCGCGGCATTCGCAAGCTTGGAGTGAGCTCGGATGGACAGAGCTACCTGGACCAGTTCCGGCAGCTCATCAGTCAGATCGGTAAGGTTGTGTCCTTTTTACGTTGGTGGTCTTACCTCGAATAGGCACAATGACGTATTTGTCCGACCTTTTTCGCCTCTTGCTGGAGGGAGGAAGAGGTTAAATATTTAATTAAAATAACATATTGAAAATTAGGTTTTGTATTCTGGTAAAAACGTGTTCCTCTTGTCCCACACTGCTGGCCACACCGGTCCAGTGTTATCAAAACATTGCAGATGAGGTTTGTAAAAGCAGGCACTAAGTGCCCTCTCCAACCATATTCGCACTTCCCCATCGCATAACCCATGAGCATCACTATTAGTAGCAAAGCACTCTCCCAGTAGGTGGACACACAAATATTGAAACACTTTCTTTCCACGGACACAAACAATAGACGGACTTTGACTTCTATATTTTTGGGGGGGTGGTTCCTTTTGTCTCACATTAGAAATCGCCGGTGCATATAAATTATTGTCTTTTTAATCTTAATTGTAGACTACTGAAAATCGATTAATAATGGCGGAAAATTCGGGGGGGAGGGTTACTGTGGGGCTGTGCCCCCGCCCCAAACGTCATCCATGGACACAACTTAGGCCATGTAGAGAAGAGGGGGAGAAGTGAGAAGTCTGACATTGAACAGAGCACAAGGAGTGGAGACTCCTCATATTGAAAGTGTAAGTATACTGAAAGGAGGCTATGGATACAGACAAAGCTCATATGTGCCATTTACCTCTACATCGAAAGATGAATCCTGGCAGACTCACCCAATGATCGCGAGAAGTAGCCATTTGCGGGGATGCATGGGTGGGGAACTGGCGGCCAGCAGTATGGACTAGCGAACGAGTTTTTACCAAGGTACCATACCTCTTTCTCATCATCATATACAGCCGGCCACCGGTCCAATGTTATTTGTAACATTCAGCAACCATAGCAGAGCTGGTACCTGGAGGAGGTAGAGGCCACTCATTAGATGGCAGCAGACAACGTTGCTCTTCCGAAGAAGGCCTCTTGCGAATCCAAGGTGTCCAGTCTGTCATGCCTGACAACTGTGTGTGTGGCGACCTCCAAGTCGCCGCCTTGCAAATGACATCCACTGACACGACACGTTGGATGCCCTGGCCCATGAAATCGCCACTGGCCTAGTGGAATGGGCCATCAACCCCACTTGGGGGTTCCTTCCTAATGCACTCCTTTGGCCACACGGAATTACAGGAGGAACAGCTACTGCGATTTCCGCCAGCCCGCTGTCCTCTGGAGATAGAATTCGAATGCTCTCACCACATCTAAAGTGTGGAGCGCTCTCTTATCCAAAGTGAACGGCGCAGGACACGTCAAATGCAGTTCTTGCTGCAAATGAAAGGTTGAGGCCACTTTTCGACCAAAAATTGAGGAGCAATCCTCAACGCAACCTTGTCCAACTGGAAGTGCACAAAGCGGTATGGACCGACAATGCCTGCAGTTCTCCCGCCCTTCTGGCCGTTCATGATGGCCATCAAAAAGACGTTTTTTTTTTAACCCTTTCCCATTCCGATGACGTACTTCATTGAAATGGAATCGGAAGTAAAAGGCCACGTTGGAGGGCGTGTGGCACAGTTTGGCACCAACTATCATAGGGTGTGGTCATGTCACTACAATTCTCTGCGGTGAGTACAATGTCTTTAAAAACAGCGGCACTTCCGCCTCTCTAAAGTTAACGCTAACCATCTTCTTTGGGTCTTTCGGTAAAGTCACGTAGAATGAGAATAAAATAATAAAATAACACAATAAAATTCTCACAACGTTTCGGCCGTCTTCAGGTGAAAGGTAAACCTTTAGCTATTTCAATGCTAAATTACTAGTCGCCTCTGTGGATGTGTAGGTTTTGACTTTAACATAGCCATTTCCCTGACCATTCACAAGCTAATCCCTCAGCTATTTGCACAAGCTAATCTCTTAGCTATTTCAATGCTAAATTACTAGTTGCCTCTGTGGATGTGTAGGTTTTGACTTTAACATAGCCATTCCTGTGACCAGTCACAAGCTAATCCCTTAGCTATTTCAATGCTAAATTACTAGTTGCCTCTGTGGATGTGTAGGTTTTGACTTTAACATAGCCATTCCTGTGACCAGTCACAAGCTAATCCCTTAGCTATTTCAATGCTAAATTACTAGTTGCATCTGTGGATGTGTAGGTTTTGACTTTAACATAGCCATTTCCGTGACCAGTCCCAAGCTAATCCCTAAGCTATTGATATGTAAACCCCTTTGTCAAGGTGCCTCACTTCTCCCAACCAGCTTAAAAGTCGCTACGAATCTTAACATCGTTCATTGAAGCTCTGTCGTCCCGACAGTTCTGTACCTTTCACCTGAAGACGGCCGCTTGCGTTGTGGCCGAGATGTCGCGAGAATTTTATTGTGTTATTTTATTATTGTATTCTCATTCTACGTGACTTTACCGAAAGAACCAAAGAAGATGAATCCTTGCAGTCACGAAAGCTTCAAATCGAAATTTAACGCTAACCACTTACACATTCCGAGATTCAGCAGTGAATGGGACCCACCCTGCAACTTACAGACGTCTCAGAATGGGAAAGGGTTAAGGTCACTAACAACTCTGAAACCGTAGCCATCGGTTCAAATGGGGGAGGGGGGGGCACATGAGAGTATCCAGCTTAAACCCCAAGGGGCCACCAATGCTGGCCGCCTCGTAGGGCTCCCCAGAGCCGAGGCTCTCAGGAGCCGAGACAGCACTGACGAAGAACCCACCGGGACTCCGAGCACACGTTCGGGAAAGTCAGAAATAGCCGAAAGGTGAACCTCTATGGACGCTGTCGACCTGCCACTTAACAACTGTTATATCCGCCTGGAGATTGACAGATGGAAACAGTGGCACATTTCTAAAGTCAGGGCAATTTGGGTTATAAGCAGAGGCAGGAAGGAGGTGTGTAGAATGAGAGGCTGGAGATGCATGGAGCAAGAGAGGCAGAGTGTGGTACAGTCGAAGAGATGAATGCAATGAGAGAAACTGAGAGAAATTGCAGGTTATGGAGTGCAAAGAGCAGAGACATGACATGGAAATATATTGAGAGATAAGCAGACGGCATGAGAGAGGTAATGCAGTGAGAAACTGTATAGAGAGATATAAAGCATCAGAGTTGCAGTTAGCGTGGGAGAGAGAAGCAGAGTATGAGAAACATCGTGTGTAATGCGTGACTTTTATAGCAGAAAATGTAATTCCCTGAATCATGGATTTAATCAATTGTTATAATGCCCTGTAAAAACATTACACTATTTCACTGTATTATTCCATCGTGTAGAATTGTTTTTGGCAAAGCTCATTGCACCAGGTGTCAAGTGTAGTAGGTTGATGGTTTCAGCCTGGTCATCAATGACATAAAAAGCACCATTACATTTCTAAATCATATTTGACTAAATTACAGCAGCGAGAATTAAAATATCAGTTTATCGTGTGATGAGCATTCCTGTTTGCAGCAAAGCAGATGAGAAATCGCTGCTCCCTCGTGTGGATAAGAGGTCTTTTGAAGGGATCTCAGAAGTAGGTTTGTGTTATCTACTTCCACAGACCGTTCGCCAACATGCAGTTGGATTTTCTCACAACATGACGCCGATAGCACACTCGATACCTTTGTGAAACAACAACAAAATCCTTGAAAAAGTATTTACGGTTTGTGTCATTCTAATTGAGTAATGTATTGTTGGACAAATCCCACTATGACGCATTGGTTAAATATGGAAGCTTGTAATTAGCAGATAGCCATTCAAATCACACTAGGGTGAAAAAATTCATGGGACGTCAACAGCGGTTGACCTATGGAAGAGACTTCCACCGACGCATAGGAATATGGAATTCACTTACTCTTGATCATTGTAAAATGGAGATTGCCACCATCCCATGTTCATTTGGACAGGAAATCACTGTAGGCATGTTTGTTGTTGCAAAAAATGAATCGCAAATATGTTTAATTACACACATGTAAACGATCGAGCAACATTTTAAGTTAATTCACTTTTATTTAGGTATTTTCAATTACACATCCATATGCCTGGGTGTGCAGTTATTGCTTGAAATTATGCGAAATACAGGTGGCCACAGTACTTTGAACCAATGGCATGTATTTTTAACACGTAATACACTCGCAGTAATAACCAGGTCGGCCTGCTGGATTTGAACCACAAACACTTGAGCCATGCCACTGCCTCTTTGGCAAAGCATCCCAAGCCAAGACCCTCCTGAAGCTGCTTGGGGGCTCAATGAGGTTTTTTGTTTGATAAAATTAACACGTATGAAATGTATGTCTTTTCTACACGGATATGCAGGGAATGCCATGGGCTACGTGCGTATGATCCGGTCTGGAGGACTCCACTGCTGCAGCAATGCGATCAGGTTTGCCCATTTTTTCAGTTCCACTATGCGTGTTAAGATAGTATGTGATTATATTGCATTTAGGCTAATTCAATGAACAGAATTATACAAACGAAACGGTGGGAAAAACATAAGCATTGAAAATGAGACAGTGAATATTACACGAAAAAATCCATTTGGCTCAATTGCCATATGATATATGATGAACTAATATGCTCCTTCATCCTATCAGGATAATGCCTTTAATATGAATATCTTTTCATTCATTGCTGGTTTTGCTGTCGACTTTATAGAGCAGCAAGTGTAAAGTATCATCTGCAACTCTTACACCATTCAATCAGGCGGTCATCTCTGTCCTTTGAAGAACATCAACTGCACAGAAGAAGAGGCTGATATAGAGTGTTCCTTTATACTGTAGTGGTAATGACAGCGATGGTGAGGTTTTTTGTGCTTGTGAATCGCCTCTCAATCAGCCACCCAGTAATTTGCGCATTGAATTACCATAGTACGCTGCTTTCTCTCATATGGAAATTAAAAGACCCTGTGACATCAACATCGTCAATGAGAATGGTACACAAGTGTGCTGTTTTATTTTACAACACATGGTTCATTTGCAATGTCGAGTGTAAACACTGTAAACTTGCCCTACAAAATGCTGGATACCCATGTCTCCTGCAAAATAGGGAATGCATATAAGTGGGCTTTCAACTCGCAAAGTGCAGGACATCAGTTAAGAAACTAATCTCGAAAGCAAACAATATGCTATTTGAAAAGGACACTTGCCAGTTGTGCCGCGGTGTTGTGTTATCTCCATATATATAAAAGGCAAAGTTGTGAATGTGTGTCTGTTCAAAACGTTTAGCGTACTTCCCGACATGCAACAAACTGCAAATTTGCCACGTGGGTACTTTCCAGACTGTACACCATGCAAAAATTATAAAAATACACTTTTTTTGGGGGGGGGGGGGAGCTCTATACATGTTTTTTGCACGGCAAGTGAGCTGTGACGTCAAATCTGTCACGTGATCCGCGCATGTGGAAGCGTTGTAGTGTAGTGGTGAGCGCTATGCTGCGCTACGAACCCAGCGACCCGGCGACCCGAGTTCGATTACCGCTCACGGCCACCACCAGTCACGATTATTTGAACTGGTCCTGGGCCTCCCCTAGGTCGACTCAGCCTCAAGCGAGTAACTGCTGTGGTGTGTGAACATGGCCACTGGGGAGACAAAGGCGGCCGGGCGTGCTGCTGTCACCCACCCCCTCGTGTGCCGTGCCGGCCTTCATAGGTGCTCGCTAACAGCACTTGCCCCTACAGTCTGTTAAAGCTATATGGGGGATCTTTGTCCTTGGAGCGGTAGTGTAGTGGTTAGCGCTACGCTGCGCTATGAACCGGGCGACCCATGTTCGATTCCCGCTCACGGCCACCACCGGCGACGATTATTTGAACCGGTCCTGGGCCTCCCCTAGGTCGACTCAGCCTCAAACGAGTAGCTGCTGTGGTGTCTGAACATCACCACTGGGGAGACAAAGGCGGCCGGGCGTGGTGAATCCAAGTCCCGGGCGATGCCGGGTTGGAAAGCTAGTAATCTACAGTGAGGGGAAAAAAGTATTTGATCCCCTACTGATTTTGTACGTTCAGTCTATAATTCAGTTTATAATTTTAATGGTATGTTTATTTGAACAGTGAGAGACAGAATAACAACAACAAAAAATCCAGAAAAACGCATGTCAAAAATGTTATAAATTTTGATTTAAAGCTTTCGTGACTGCAGGGATTCATATTCTTGGTTCTTTCGGTAAAGTCACGTAAGTATTTGGCCCCCTCTCAATCAGAAAGATTTCTGGCTCCCAGGTGTCTTTTATACAGGTAACGAGCTGAGATTAGGAGTACACTCGCAAAGGGAGTGCTCCTAATCTCAGCTTGTTACCTGTATAAAAGACACCTGTCCACAGAAGCAATCAATCACATTCCAAACTCTCCACCATGGCCAAGACCAGAGCTCTCCAAGGATGTCAGGGACAAGATTGTAGACATACACAATGCTGGAATGGGCTACAAGACCATTGCCAAGCAGCTTGGTGAGAAGGTGACAACAATTGGTGCTATTATTCGCAAATGGAAGAAACACAAAAGAACTGTCAATTTCCCTCGGCCTGGGGCTCCATGCAAGATCTCACCTCGTGGAGTTGCAATGATCATGAGAACGGTGAGGAATCAGCCCAGAACTACACGGGAGGATCTTGTCAATGATCTCAAGGCAGCTGGGACTATGGTCACCAAGAAAACAATTGGTAACACACTACGCCGTGAAGGACTGAAATCCTGCAGCCCCCGCAAGGTCCCCCTGCTCAAGAAAGCACATATACATGCCCGTCTGAAGTTTGCCAATGAACATCTGAATGATTCTGAGGACAACTGGGTGAAAGTGTTGTGGTCAGATGAGACCAAAATGGCGCTCTTTAGCATCAACTCAACTCGCCGTGTTTGGAGGAGGAGGAATGCTGCCTATGACCCCAAGAACACCATCCCCACCGTCAAACATGGAGGTGGAAACATTATGCTTTGGGGGTGTTTTTCTGCTAAGGGGACAGGACAACTTAACCGCATCAAAGGGACGATGGACGGGGCCATGTACCGTCAAATCTTGGGTGAGAACCTCCTTCCCTCAGCCAGGGCATTGAAAATGTGTCGTGGATGGGTAGTCCAGCATGCCAATGACCCAAAACACACGGCCAAGGCAACAAAGGAGTGGCTCAAGAAGAAGCACCATTAAGGTCCTGGAGTGGCCTAGCCAGTCTCCAGACCTTAATCCCATAGAAAATCTGTTGAGGGAGCTGAAGGTTCGAGTTGCCAAATGTCAGCCTCGAAACCTTAATGACTTGGAGAAGATCTGCAAAGAGGAGTGGGACAAAATCCCTCCTGAGATGTGTGCAAACCTGGTGGCCAACTACAAGAAATATCTGACCTCTGTGATTGCCAGCAAGGGTTTTGCCACCAAGTACTAAGTCATGTTTTGCAGAGGGGTCAAATACTTATTTCCCTCATTAAAATGCAAATCAATTTATAACATTTTTGACATGCGTTTTTCTGGATTTTGTTGTTATTCTGTCTCTCACTGTTCAAATAAATCTACCATTAAAATTATAGACTGATCATTTATTTGTCAGTGGGCAAACGTACAAAATGAGCAGGGGATCAAATACTTTTTTTTCCCTCACTGTATATTTTTTGGGTCTTTCGGTAAAGCCACGTAGATAGAAAACAATTTAAATAATGAGAATAGGTCTTCCCCTTCCTTGCAACAAAACAGGTATTAAGATGTTAAAACACCAAACTGAAACCTTTTACAAGGAATCATGTCTGCATTAACCACAATACTTGTGATCAGAATGCGAACAAAAAACATACTCTGATAATATATGCATTGTCTTTCAAACTGATTGGTCCACACCAGACAGCTTTCTTTTAAACCTAGTCTCAAACTGGTGTTAGACCAGAGGATGCCAAAAGGCGTATAAAAATAATAACAATAATATCACGACGTTTCGATCGCAACACAAGCAATCGTCATCAGGTGAAAAAATATAGCGGGAGAGCTGCTGAGGCAGGAAAAATATATGGTGGGAGAGCTGCTAAGGCAGGATGTTATAAAGATCTGAGATGGGTGTAGCCCAAGGGTAAATGGGTGGGGCTGGAGATTAAATTTGCATGTAAATGTAAGATCGGAGAGCTGAGCCATACCCACGATGGCGAATCAGTGGGGGTGGCCATTGTATTGTGAGAGATTAGCATGTCAATGTAAGAAATTTGCATGCAAATGTAAAATCGGAGAGAGCTCGTTAAGAGCCACTGCCACATCGAGGAAAACGAGCAACGGTAGCTGTGTTAGTGAATGTAACTCAGAGAGTCGAAAATAATTGCTAAATATAGTCAGGTATGAAGGGAACAATACAGTTATGACCTAAACTGGTTAATAACTTCCTTCAAATGATTGCTCAGTTTGTACCCATCTTCTCGGTTGAAATTGTGTCTGTGTTTATATATCTGGATGGCTTCATGATTGAATCTTTGCTGATAGCCAGTGGGTTTGCAGAGTACCTTCGTCTTGGCAAAATAAGTTTTGTGTGTGCCCACAGTGTTAAAACAATGATCAGCCACGGCTGAGGTATTGGTCCTACCGTGTTTCAGATCTGCCTTATGTTCACGAACCCGGTCCGAGACATCTCGCTTAGTTTCCCCAATGTAACTGATGCCGCAGACACAGCTTAGTTTATATACAGGGATCACATCCTTCACAGATGGGATCAGATCACGGATTTTATGTACTGTGTTGAATCGAACCTGGATCTAGTGTTTGCTCATGATTTTGGAAATCTTTTTGGTGACCCCTGCTATGTATGGCAAGGTGATGGTTTTGATTGGGTCCTCAGATGGTTCTTTCCCAGTGGTTGGGGTGATAGCTTTACGGATTGTGTAGTCTGAATTCATCTTGAGGGCTTGGTGTACGTGCTCCAGTTCGTGGTGATGGTCGGAAATACAACGAGCTCTATGGTGTAGAGTTATGATGAGGGAATTCTTCTGGGATGGATGGTGGTGGGAGTCAGGTTTTAGGTAGGCATCCGTATGGGTGGCTTTCCTGTAGACAGTGTCCCATTGAGCCATCAGGTTTTTCAATTAAAACATCCAAGAATGGTAAATTGCCATCCTTTTCCACCTCCATGGTGAATTTGATGGCTGGGTGTATGGAATTGATGTGGTTGAAGAATTGGTCAAGAGCTGGTAGGCCATGTGGCCAGATGACGAACGTGTCATCTACGTCGTGATATTATTTTATTTTTTATCTATGTGGCTTTACCGAAAGACCCAAAGAATATGAATTCCTGCAGTCACGAAAGCTTTAAGTGAAGTGTTATAATCTATTTCACACATTAGGGGTGGATGTCAATTTGACTCCCAGTTGGCACTGTGGATCACTCACTGTTTGTAAACTCCCACAGATTTGTTCCTGACCTTGAGGACATTGTGAACTTTGAGGAATTGGTGAAAGAAGATGGCCTTTCAGCGGAGGCCATAGCAGCTGCCAAGTGAGTTCAGCGTTTTGTTCAGGTTTTAGCTCTGCAGAGCATTGTGATTTCATTTCATAATTTAATTGCTCAGACATAATAATGCAAAATATAAAATAATAAAAAGATTTTAACGATTGAAAGAGATTGAGAGGGCAAATTAATAATGAAAAGCTATTCATTTGTCCTGGTCAAATGCCTCCGACGGCAACTTCCCACTTAATTGGCACATGAAATGCTAGATATTGAATTCAGGCAGTCACTCGTATTAAAATCTCATTTTTTATTGGAGTGAGTTGATGTTACTCAACCTGTTAAACAAACTCTCATTTGAGTCGAGTGTTTTTTGGAGCCCAGCTCAGCTCTGGTACCTAAAATGAAATGGGATTTTGCCAGGCTGGTTATAGGTTTGAAAAATGTTCCATCCTATTTTCTTGAGAGATAATAACTGAAATATGAAGCTTGAATTAAAATACATTTTCACCCCATTGTCAACATGGTCTTTGTGTGTGTCCCTTTTAAATGTTCCTGGGCAGGCACCTAGATGCAGTTCTGGGAACCCTGACAAGGAACTTTGCAGAGGGAACTGAGTACTTTAAGATGTTGGTGGATGTCTTTGCTCCCGAGTTCCGCAGCTCCAAGAATATGCATCTCCGAAATTTCTATATCATCGTCCCTCCACTGGTAAAGGAATAAACATGTCAGCTCTCGGATTGCACATCTAACAATAACATTTCTGCTTAAGATGTTTGGCCATTTTTTTTGTAAGTGAGAAAACCAACATGTGAGAAAATAGCACTGAGGAATTTCGATCAACTGGTTCATGAACCTATGTGCTGAAGTGTCATCGTCTGGCCACCTAGCAGGCCATTGGGTTGGAAGTTAAGTAGAATATGATTGTGTGATCCCCACCAATCTTGCCTCAAGAGTACTTGAGTATAGTCAGTAGCTGGGCATTTTTTTCACGAATGCACCACGCATTAAGGTTTTAATGTCTCACTTGACATTTTAATTCGTGAAACTTCCTGAAAGGTTTTATCAAGAAGGTTTGGCATAAGTTGCAATTGCTTCCATCGGAACATTTTGTATGTTGCTCTTGAGTTACGTTCTGCCCAAATTGAAATAATTGGTGCTCTTTCCATCCCAGTGATTACCGTGTTTCATGGTACGGTGTTATGCCCTCCGTGGATTTGCCCCAAACACTACGCTGAATATAAAGTGTTGGCTCCCACATATGGCTTGCTGGGCTTACCTCTTATGCGTTTGTCTGAAGTACAGGGGTTGACATATTTTGGATTGTAGGCAGTTTATTTGGACAAGTGGTGAGAGATTAAGATGTAATCTGGAAAAGTTTTAAATGGCACTATTCTGTATGTGGATGACTAACTTTAATTCATAGTTGGCTCAAATATCAGATTTACAGTCCCCTATACAGTGAGGGAAAAAAGTATTTGATCCCCTGCTGATTTTGTACGTTTGCCCACTGACAAAGAAATGATCGGTCTATAATTTTAATGGTAGGTTTATTTGAACAGTGAGAGACAGAATAACAACAAAAAATCCAGAAAAACGCATGTCAAAAATGTTATAAATTGATTTGCATTTTAATGAGGGAAATAAGTATTTGACCCCCTCTCAATTAGAAAGATTTCTGGTTCCCAGGTGTCTTTTATACAGGTAACGAGCTGAGATTAGGAGCACACTCTTAAAGGGAGTGCTCCTAATCTCAGCTTGTTACCTCTATAAAAGACACCTGTCCACCCAATCAATCAATCAGATTCCAAACTCTCCACCATGGCCAAGACCAAAGAGCTCTCCAAGGATGTCAGGGACAAGAATGTAGACCTACACAAGGCTGGAATGGGCAACAAGACCATTGCCAAGCAGCTTGGTGAGAAGGTGACAACAGTTGGTGCGATTATTCGCAAATGGAAGAAACACAAAATAACTGTCAATCTCCCTCGGCCTGGGGCTCCATGTAAGATCTCACCTCGTGGAGTTGCAATGATCATGAGAACGGTGAGGAATCCGCCCAGAACTACACGGGAGGATCTTGGCAATGATCTCAAGGCAGCTGGGACCATAGTCACCAAGAAAACATATGGTAATACACTACGCCATGAAGGACTGAAATCCTGCAGCGCCCGCAAGGTCCCCCTGCTCAAGAAAGCACATATACATGCCCGTCTGAAGTTTGCCAATGAACATAATGATTCAGAGGACAACTGGGTGAAAGTGTTGTGGTCAAATGAGACCAAAATGGAGCTCTTTGGCATCAACTCAACTCGCCGTGTTTGGAGGAGGAGGAATGCTGCCTATGACCCCAAGAACACCATCCCCACCGTCAAACATGGAGGTGGAAACATTATGCTTTGGGGGTGTTTTTCTGCTAAGGGGACAGGACAACTTAACCGCATCAAAGGGACGATGGACGGGGCCATGTACCGTCAAATCTTGGGTGAGAACCTCCTTCCCTCAGCCAGGGCATTGAAAATGGGTCGTGGATGGGCATTCCAGCATGACAATGACCCAAAACACACGGCCAAGGCAACAAAGGAGTGGCTCAAAAAGAAGCACATTAAGGTCCTGGAGTGGCCTAGCCAGTCTCCAGACCTTTATCCCATAGAAAATCTGTTGAGGGAGCTGAAGGTTCGAGTTGCCAAACGTCAGCCTCGAAACCTTAATGACTTGGAGAAGATCTGCAAAGAGGAGTGGGACAAAATCCCTCCTGAGATGTGTGCAAACCTGGTGGCCAACTCCAAGAAACGTCTGACCTCTGTGATTGCCAACAAGGGTTTTGCCACCAAGTACTAAGTCATGTTTTGCAGAGGGGTCAAATACTTATTTCGCTCATTAAAATGCAAATGAATTTATAACATTTTTGACATGCGTTTTTCTTGATTTTTTTGTTGTTATTCTGTCTCTCATTGTTCAAATAAACCTACCATTAAAATTATAGACTGATCATTTCTTTGTCAGTGGGCAAACGTACAAAATCAGCAGGGTATCAAATACTTTTTTCCCTCCACTGTAAGTGCTTGTTTGCCTTACAATGTAATCTGTAGCTTGTGCATTCAAATCCTGGTTGGATGGTGACTGAGCAAAATGTTCCTCCAGGGTTGTTAAAATCAATACAACTTCGTGGGAAGTCAACAATGATCATCCTACGGAGATATTGGTCCCCACCATAGGAATGTGGAATTAGCATTTTAGGCAAAGGGCCAACAACAAAGATCACTTGAATCAAGTGGTTCTTTGCATGAAGTTCAGCAATTTTTTGCGAAAATGAGGAAAATTAGACTTTTGAAGAGCTAGCATCATCAAGAATGTCTATCTTTCATAACCATCAAACTGTTATACATTACCCTAAGCATGTGCATCTCTCCATGAATATAATTCAAAGTCTAATTAAGGTGTATCTCTTCTTAATTAAGAACATACGTAACACTCATCTATTTCTGTTGGCTGTGGGAGACCCTGAGCCAGCAACGAAATGCCATTATTGAAATAGTGGGGGACCGGTTTCCTGGCAAGACAACCGCTGTTGACTTCTCACAAAGTGGTACACATTCTCAGCACTTTGGTGACATCATGGGCTTGCCTTGGCTACCAACCGGTGATTTGAGCTGGTACCTTTTCTCTCAACAGTGCCGGTCATAGTAAACGTTGCATTGTTGGTTCACGACTGCTGTATTATTGATCTTATTATTTTTTGCCATTGTCTTTTTTTAGACACTAAACTTTGTGGAGCATTCCATCAGCTGCAAGGACAAGCTGAACAAGAAAAATAAAGTGGGTGCTGCCTTCACCGATGATGGCTTTGCTATGGGTGAGCTGTATTTATTGAATACAATTGTAAACTTCAAAGCGATGCTTTGGAGGACAAAACACATCCACACACCTCGCTTTGAAAAATGTGCTTGTGCAGCTGAAAAGGTTATTGCGATAGCAGGTTTGAGGATATTTGGTGCTGTTATTTTTGATAGCGCACTTTGCATGATGTTACATTCCAAGCTGACTGCGTAGTTGGAGAATGTAGAAATGTATCCTCCGATGAAATTGACAATATCAGTGACTAAAAACACGTTTTCTCAGAGAGGTGACCAGGTGATTTAGGGCTCAGAGCACCAAGCCACCACTGCTGAGATCCACGATTAATATCCAGGTTCCCATACCTGTGTATTCTCAAATGTAGCATAACCAATAGCTGCCCAAAACGAATATCACGTTGATTATTTATTTACTTAATCTTGCCAAATTCCAGTTCTGAATGAAAACAAGCAAGCCTTTTGACTGCTATGTCTCTATCTAGATTTGAATCTTTCGTGACTGCAGGAATCCATACTCTATGGTTCTTTTGATTAAGTCACGTAGGTAGAAAATAAAATAAATCACGGCGTTTCGGGCACAACACAAGCATCTGTCATCAGGTGGTCTACTGTTTTACAGTCTGCCTCAGCAGCAGGAACATGCGTTCCACTTGATGACGGACGCTTGTGTTGCGCCTGAAACGTCGTGATTTATTTTATTTTATACCTACGTGACTTTACCGTGCGTTGCCTGGTGTGTGGATTAACGTGGTCACTTGAAGGAATTTCACAAGAAGTTCTATAAAATTGCCTTCTTTCTGGGTAATAGGCTGCTCTGTGAGCGTTTCAAATGGGTACCTCATTTCATGGTGTGACACAGATAACACAAGTGGGATAAAATTTTGTATAAAGCAAACAAAATGAGCAATCAATGGTGGCTTTCCACGTAAATTGCATTTCATATTTAGTTTTTTTCAACACTACACATTTTCAAAGTATTTTATCATGAAATGTGCAATGGCTTCATACAGAGTTATGTCCTTAGATGTTGCGAGGTGACACCAGACTTTGCAATGACGTTTTCACATATATAGACATTTTGTCAATTATTTTTATAGTTGAAAACTTAATTACAAAGGACTAAAAGTGCTGTATTTAAAAGTATATAAATAGCAACCCACACATCCTTTGGATGCGACTGTCCATCCGTCCGTCCCTCCCAACTTAAATAGTGCCCTGTCTCTCTCCACCTTTCCCTTGCCTTCTCTGTGCCATGTATCACAATTTGTCCTGATTATCTCATATTGCTTCTATCTGTTTCTCAATGCTGTCCCCTCTCCTCCCTTCACGGTATGTCACCCACTTTCCTCCCCCTTATTTCTCCGTTTATCTCTCACCTATCACTCTCCTTATTCCCACCTCTCCCTTTCTCATCTCAATCTCTCTTGCCTCTCCCTAGCCTCTTTCCGACTGCTCGCAACGTTCCCTCTCTGTCCTCTTTCCGTTTTGCTCTCTTTCTACTCCGTTACATGCCCTTTCACTCTCCCCCTGCCCCTCTCCTCGCCATCTCTCCCTCTATCCCTATTCTCTCTTCCTAATCTTCCTCTATATCCCTCCTCTGTCTCTCATCCACACCTTCCTCTATCTCCCTCCCTCACCTCCCTCCTGCACCTTCCTCTGTCTCTCTCCTCTCTTGCATTTGTGGGGGATACATGTCTGGGGTGGAAGGTGGGTTGGGAGGAAGACGTGACGTCAGCATGCAGTAATCAGTCTCAAAGCTGTGGAATGCGGGTGATGTCATCCCGCCGATGTGCGTGATAACACCACTTCGCATGTGCACTTGGGAGCATGGCATCCAGCATGACAGGTATCCACCCAGGCTCTCCAGCTATCAAACGTCTCGTATAATATGAAAAAAAAGTCTTTGCAATACGCATTAACTGCAGAAATGTATAATGTTAATATATTCAAAACTGCACAGTGACATGCACATTTACAATGCGAAAGCAGATTTTCTTGGTTTGGTGATAAACACCCAGAGTTTTGTAGGCATGGCCAATACTGAGCAGTGCTCATCTCAACTGGGAGGCCTCAGCCATTGGTGGAAATTCCATTTGTCTATGGAGGGGACATAGGACAACTTTTTCTAGCAAGTCAAGCACTAAACACAATACCACTTGGCTAAACCATGATCAACATTGTCTTCAACATATTCAATGTGTTGTACTGCTGTGAATAAAATTGCCATGCTGTTCAACTGTTTTTTATTTAAAATGCAGTTTGAAAGAGCTCAAGCAGTCATGATTTGCAATGTTTAAGTGTGCAGTTGATATGTTTGCAGATAAAAATTAATATCAATCATGAGATGAATGAAAATTCTTATTAGTTTTGGTTGCTGTGGTATTTGCAATTGCATATAAATTCAATCCTGCTGTTTAAACAGCATTACAGCACCGTCCAGCTCCACAATAACACAGACCCATACAGCTTTGTCAGCTCTGAGAAGCAATTATCTATACTCCCTTTCATCAAGATTACTTACTCAAATTAGTTTTACCTGCTGTGACTTGAAAATTTAAAGTTTCTTAAGAAGTGGGATGGCTGTTAAAAAAATAATGAAAAAGATGCCAAATGTGGTCCTGCCTGCCTCTTGACTATTACTGTCACCATGCTTTTTCATTTCCTTTCGGTTGCTGGTTCCTGATTAACACATAGACAGCTGTGTAGCTTAACAATTCACGATGGAATCATGTGCATTAGCACATTTACGCCATCGTCGATTTGAGATGCTGTGCCGGTAGGCTGTGCTCGTGTAATTGTACGGTCCAGGAATCACAAAACAGACCACCTGTTTCACTGCGCCATGACTTCCAGACTGTACACCTCTTAACCTTCAGCATAAGTGTGTGCTACATTCCTGCGATTTCTGGCAAGCAGATTAAGTCCAGGGCATCTCGCTTCTTCTCCCAGTGTGTCACGATCCAATGGACTTCGTGGGCTTAACCCAGCCTGCTCCATCTCCTCCGTTAACCTCCCACTTCTTATCCTTTATGGCCAAGGGGGAAGCAATTGCAAAAACAAAGAAGAACAATCGTCCATGTGCATGGATTCTGTGACGCTTTCAATTGACATGACAAAACAAAAGTCACACACTGACACCATGGTGGGCGAGCACACTGTGCAATGTCAACACGTTGGCCGAGAAGGCTCTTGATTAATTCCCGAATAGCAACACTTTTTTATTATAACATTTAATTTACATTCAATTATCATGAGTTATCATGGCCTCCAATGTTACAGACAGCCAATGCATTTGTAGTGTGTAATTACTGAGGAGCACACACTTTTTAGCGGAGGCAATGCGTTTAATAAACAACTCAGTGATCGATGTATTCTCTTGTTAAGTGTGGCTATACTGTCCTAGACTGTTCACTGTGTGTGTGTGTGAGAGAGCTCGCGAACGGGTCTGTAGCACACATGCTACCGGACCCACGATTCCCAGCTAAACCTACACGATGAACGAAGAGCGGGCAGCGAAGAGCGAAGTCCTTTTCAGTTGATCCCCAACACGAGCCCCGAATCCCCTCGGCGCTCCCCCTTTATCCCCTGGCCGCCGCCTCGCGCCGCCCTCGGCCACGCCCCCTCCTGTATCCAGACCAGAGCTCCCCGCTCCCGGTCATGTGTCCGTCAGTCCTCCAGTGGAGGCTCCTGGTGCTCAGCGTGGCTGGCGCAACAGCGTAGAGATCTCTTTGTGTGTATCTACACATTTATGCATTCAAGCTTCGTCTGAAAGTGTTTAAAAGGTTTTTTTTTATATCCGGGTTACATGCGTCGAGAAATCTGCAAGCTAATATCTCTTATTATTTTCCGCTGTGACTCCTTATTTTGACTCTCGAAACTTTAGACACTTTCATTGACCCGGAATGCCCCAGTCATATAAGAAAACAAATGAATGCATTATAAAGAAAATGTACCATTATAGTTCATACTGGTACATTATTGTATATATTGGTACATTATCGTATATACTGGTATATTATAGAATATACTCCCTGCTCTTTATTTCCACCTCTCCTGTCTGTCTCTCTTGCCTCTTCCTAATCCTGCCTCCTACTTAATGTGCTTTCCCTTGCGCTCCTCTTTATGTTTTGTTCTCTTTCCTCTCCGTTTAATGCGCTGTCAGCCTCTTAACTCCCCTCTCCATTCCTGTATCTTCCTCCCTCTGACTCCCACACTTTCTGATTCTATCTATCTCCCTCCCTCTCCCCCCTCACCTATATCTCCCGGCCTCACCTTCCTCTATATCCCTCCCTCCCCTCCGTCTATCTCTCTCCCTCACCTCCCTCTATCTCCCTCGATGCCTTCTGTCTCCCTCTCGAAAACTCCATCCATCTTACTCACCTCCCTCCTCTTTAACCCTCTATTATTCCTCCCTCACCTCTTTCTCTCTCCCTTCCTCACCTCCCTTAGCACGCACGAACCCGATTCAATGCTGTGGGATCCAGGTGATGTCATCGTGCAAATTCACGTGGTGACGTCACCACTGCGCACGAGCACTTGGGCGTGCGACACCCAGGCAGACGGGAATTAATTCCACCAAGTCTTTAAATAGTTTCGTTAGTTGTCCTTCCCCTGCACCTCCAATCATCACGGTTGGCTATGTACGGTGCGAAAGAAGTTCTACATACATACTGAAAACATTTTTGCATTATGATCACTCCTGTGTGCAATAACATGGAAGTTCTATTATGACTAAATATATATTTCAAACAATTTGCATTTAAATATTAAGCACTTATGCCAATAAATTATTAAAATTATCATTCAAATACATTTTTCAATCCATTTCACCGTGCTGGCCAGTGCAGGTTTGTGAATGGTGTGGTGGGGTAGCCCCCACATGGTTAGATATCACTTGCCACTGAAGTATGCTCTGGCCGGAAATCAAACCAGTGTCCTAGCCATTGCGCCACCACTTAACTCCTCTTCACAGTCATTATTATTTAATGAAGTAATTAATATGAGGCAGTAAAATAGAACTCATCATGCTATTAACCCTTCAGATTGGAAGCTTTAAATGAAAGTATAGTTGTAGTGAGAAGAAATTAACTAAACAATTTTCATAGATGCTTTTCAGATTCGGAATTTGCAAATATTGTATTTGTAGCCAAGCACAATGTTTGTGTATATATTTCTACTTAGCTTTAACCTTTGTTTTGTATACAAAGCTCTCGTTACGGTGGCTACATTCTGATATAGCAATAGAGCTTTGTGGTATGTGTATTTACATGCGTAGTGGCGTAACACGAGCATGGTTTGCAAACAGCAGTGGCATTCATGTACGGGGTTGCAAACAGTGAGGTCAGGTCAGGAAGAGCAGGTGGAGCAGGTGCAAGCGTGAGGCCTGGGAGACAGCAGACAGAGAGATGCCAGCAATTATGGAAAGAGGCAGTGATTGGCTGGCTGCAAATGCAAACATGGCGTAGGCGTCAAGAAGGCGAGAGATAGAACCGATAAGGGGGTGGGGGGGGGCACGTGCAGGAGACGCCGGAAGGATGCCGGCTTAACGAGGGCCGAGGACACTTAATGAGGAGGGGGATATAAGGGGATGTGTGAAGCAACGGGAGTTGAGTTGGTTTATGTGACTTTCAATGTACGCGACTTTCTATCTACGTGACTCTCTATCTATGTGACTTTATATCGGAGATGAAGAAGTGAAGAAATCAATACAAGAGAAGTCCGGGATCTCGCCCTCCACACCTCGTCCTCCCCAGCGGTGTTGGCTGAACCCCCGCTGGGGGCACGGGCGAGGTTGGAGGTGTGGGTGTAGTAACAGGCTAGTGGGGGAGAGGCTAGCGGAATCCTTAGTGTGAGTGTGATAGGCTAGCGGAGAATAGGCTAGCGGGACATTCAGTGAGAGGTTAGCAGGGTGATAAGCTAGTGGAGTATACAGTAAGAGGCTAGCGGAGAACAGGCTAGCGGAATCCTTAGTGTAAGTGTGATAGCCTAGCGGAGAATAGGCTAGCGGGATATTCAGTGAGAGGTTAGCGGGGTGAGAAGCAAGCGGAGTATACAGTAAGAGGCTAGCGGAGAACAGGCTAGCGGGGCCAGAGAGTGAGAGCGTCCATGACAGGCTAGAGGAGTGCAGAGTAAACAGGCTCGCGGAGCAAGAGAGGGAGAGTTCGTGAGAGAAGTAGCTGGTGTTGAACGTGAGGAGCACCCGTGTGGGATGCTTAGAATAAAGTGACATGTTTGGACTTTACAATTTGTATTTAAGTATGCAAGTATCTAAAAATGACATATACACTGACAGTGCTGAACATGATACTATTGTTTAATTGTCAATCTGGGTGGTTATAAACCTATTGGAAAGAGTAGTGAATTTCTGAAAATTGGTCATGTTATTAGACTGAATAGTTGGTGATGTGTGTGTCATTATTTTTCACGGTAACTCCTGGCCGAAATTAAACATGAGAGGCAGGGTTATTAGGTTGGTTAGATGTGCATGAAAATACGAGCCACCAGACTACGAGGCAGTTGGCATATGGCAGGACAGCAAGTTCTATGGGGAGATATCTGACCACCATATAAATACATGAATGTAGAATTTCAACTACTAGATCAAGATACCCCAGGTATTCTGCTCTCCCAACTCATCCATGGAGAGAGGTTACTTTGTTCCTTATAAGCACATCATGTGTTAACTTGTGCACTTAGTGTATTTACTTGTGTAGTGGCACAGAATAGTAGTGTGGCAGCATAGCACTGGCTGCTGGCAGGAAAGGGGATCTGCGGCTTATGGCAGCCCAGACGTCAGCAGGCCAGGTTAAACACCAGAGGGCGGTCTAGGGGAAAGGTCACAGAAGGCGCACACCAAGAACCCGCTGGTAGGTTCTAGAAAGGGGGCGTGGCCGGGGGCGTAGCCAGGCCACGCTGACAGTATAAGAAGGGCCCGTGTAGAGGACCTCGGGGCTGTTGTTGATGTGGGATCCCCGTCGTGCTGCTGAAGTCTTCGTCACCGTTCTTCTCGTCGTCTTCACCATTCTTCATGTCATCTTCTTCGTCTTCACAATCTCGGGGTGACACCAGTCAGGCAGCCTACCAACTGTCCTGACTGAGTAGCGTCGCCGACAATAGACGGACTAATTATTAAGAGTGTTTACCCCGATGGTGCTTGTTAATAAAGAAGTGCCTCCAACTCTTATCGTCTCCGAGTTAGTCACTTCACTTGTAAAACATGGAGGTTATTTCACATGCAAACATGCTCATTGAGCGGTTGGCCAAATGTCCCAAGCATTACGCTCAATAAAAAAAAATCCTTGATACTCAAGTGAGTTTTCTTGGATGAATGCATGACTGTTGTCATTATTCAAAGGCATTTCTTGGAATGCTTCTGTCTCCTGTTTTTTCTCCCGCCTGTCCCCGGGCTTCAATTACAGGTGTGGCGTACATCCTGAAGCTGCTGGATCAGTACCAGGAGTTGGACTCGCTGCACTGGTTCCAGTCGGTGCGTGAGAAGTACCAGCGTGAGAAGCAGGCAGCATCGAAGCAGCAGAAATCGACCACCGGCTCTCAGGATGAGAAGCTCATGCAGACCATGAACCTCACCCAGAAGCGTCTCGACGTGTACATGCAGGTAACCGGTGGATTGGGCACATTTTTTATGGCGTCTTTTGAAGGCTAAAGAGTGCAAGTGGAAATCCAGGACAGCAGTTCACTTGGCATGTTTTCTTCCCATGTTCGATCAAATGCGTGTCACATGGTGGGAATTAACCAATGGTCGGTCACCTTTTAACTTGACTAGCCCTCGCCATGGGTATGTGGGAATTCCAACATTTGCTCAGGGACTCCAATGGAGATGACCATCACCATATTGCTCATTTGTACTGGAAGACAATATAGCTTTGACAAGTAATATTGCAGGGTTTACCATGTAATGAAAATAGTAAGATATGCTATTTCTCAGCATACAGCTTTGCTGGCAAAATACAAAGAGCAAACTGTCTCCTGCGAGTGTGTGGTGTTGTTTATCTGTACTGTTGATCAGTCTATGTAATACATTTTGATTTAAAGCTTTCGTGACTGCAGGGATTCATATTCTTGGTTCTTTCGGTAATGTCACGTAGAAGGGAAACAATAAAATAATAAAAATAAAAAACAATAAAATTCTCACGACGTTTCGACTGCAACACAAGCAATCATCATCAGTCTATGTAATGGTTGCATTTTATTATTTTTTCAATCAATCCAAGGAGGAAGTAGCCACTATGCATTGCAGCAACACTGCTGGGATGCACATGCATGGCTCATTCATCAGTGATGTGTTTTATGGTTTGGACTTCACCACAGTCACAGTTTGGCCATTTTTTTTATCCTCCATTTGTGGAAGGTGTACGTGCATCTCCCACGTTGCATTCAAGCGACGTTTCGCGAGGTCCATCTTGGTCATGGGAGAGAGGAGCCTGGTACTTCCACTCTCGGGTGCTCAATGAGGTTATTGTTTTTTGCGATATCCATCGCCACCCATGATTCCGTCCACCGAGTGTTTTATTTTCAGCTGATAGAATGGAGGCACGCATCCTGTAAGGTTTTCTGAATTTCAGCCGGTGGCGTGGGGGGTTCTTTATTTGGCCTCGCTGGAGCGGCAGAGCGATGTCGTCCATTATCTTGTGGTTACCCCTGGGTCAGCGCAGCATTGCTTTGGATGTTGGCCAGGGCGAGGTTCGCAAGGAGAAGGGCGGCACGGGAGTGGTGTGGACTTGAGGGCGGTGTCGCCAATGATCCGAAGTGCGGTGTTGATTTAAGTATCGACGAGGTTTGTGTGAGAGCTGGCACTCCAGACTGGGGCCCAGTAGGACTCCGTGGTGGAGTGGACCAGGGCTTGCATCAATATCTTCCACGTGCGGGTGTTGCTTCCCCACGTTGTTGCTGAATGTTTCTGAAAAACGATCACCCGTGTTTTTGTTTCCTTTTTGGCTTGTATGAGGTGGTGTCGGTAGGCGAGCGTCTGATTTAGAGTAACTTCGTAAGTAGCGGGGGTGTTGGCGGTGTGTTCGCGGTGTTCCACAGATGTTGACATTTACTGTTTTCGTGGCTTGTTCAGGTGAAACACAGAGGTGATGCTCTTGGAGGTGTTTAGCTGAAGGCCAATTCTTGAAGTGAGCTTTTCGGGTCTTTAGATGTTTTTCAAGGACTTATTCCGATGTCCTCTTGTCCATGCTTAGGTGAGCAATGCGAAGTCATCCACATACATAAACTCGTGGGAGAATGTCGCAGGAATGTCACTTGTTATAGGGATTGAACAACAACTGGGGCAAGGACGGATCCATGCAGGAATCCATTGTTCAACCTTCATGGGCTTCTGGCAGCCTCATCAAGATGGATGGTGAACCATCGGTAGCTCAGAATGTCTGTGATGAGTCTGATTGTCAGGAAGCAGGGCACAGCTGTTGCAAGCATTAGTCGGAGGCCCTTCCACCATAACAGTATCGCAGAAAGTTTTACGGTCTTATGCTTCATAGGGCAGGTGCCAGTCTTTTTGCCACTGCCCAGGAGGATGTCAGTTGTTCACCTGTTCGATGGTTGGCATTGTAGCCTCACAAGGTGTGGTGGCTATTGAAGCTGCCAACATGAATGGTATTGTGGCGCGGCGGTCGCAGCGCTGGCAACGGCCAATTCCATTCGTGGAAGCTTGTAGGTGCTCACCAATGTTAGGTAATTGAAGTTGGTGGTAAATGTAGTAGGGGTGAGTTGTTGGGCACGACCTGTATATCGAGTCCTTCAGGTCAGTCTTTACACATATTTGAGGCCACATTGCGGATAACGGTTGTGGAAACGAGGGTGTAAACATTTAAATCCGAGCGAGGCACCCTAGGTTCAGATGGGTTTCTTCCAGCTCGAGGAAATCAGTGTCTTTAAACTTGAGGAGCTATGCGATACAATCGCATTTTGCACCAGAGTGCCCTCTGTTCAGCTGTATTATTCTCAGCGACGGGGACCAATGTTCACAATTATTTGGCCTTGGGAAAGGTAATTGTTACTATTACTTACGAGGCCGGGATAACTTGGGCATTTAGCCACCTCTATGATGACATTCGTTGGGCTTTCACATGTAGCAGGGAAGACCGCAATGCAGGTCGTCATCTTCTCCATCCTTGAGTCAGTGTTATTATTCTCATGGGAGTCTTCTGCTTGCCACTCTCATGTTGATAATGTTCCTACTCTATAACAAACATCAGCATCAGAGTGTTTCCCTGCTCCGACGTACATGGGGTGCTGTTGACATCTCCTTTGGCAGGCCTGTCTGTGCCAGTGGCGGAAATTCCACATGTTTACAGAATCGAATAAGCTGATGGTTTCCAAATTGAGATCCAGGCCATGATTGGGAAGTCAAGAACGTTTGTCCTTTAGAGAGGCCGGCCCTCTTTAAGAAATGTATTCTTTGCTTGATTGGAATATTCATGAAATTCCAGCACATATTAACCTCACAGTTAAGAATGTAGATGTGTTGCTTTTAGCGGATCTGGGGGGACACGAACTGTCGTGTTTTGCAAATTGATATTGTCAGCCTGGTCTTGTCACAAGGGGTCTGGGTGATTGGAGTGTGTTGTTTGGTGGTTTTTGTAAATAGTCACGATTGTATTATATTGTCTCCTGAAATGTTAAGCAGTTCATTAAAATTAGTCTGATGCGAGGGATACAAAGCAAAACAGAACGAATCGGACGAATCCACCAATCAACAGACGGCCCAACCCTCCCACAATATTCTGTTTCACTCGTACTCCAATCAGTATAATTACAGACACTTCTTAATTACATTTCAGTGTGAATTCCAGACCAAGTAATGTTTGATGTAATAATTCAGTGTTCTGTTTCTGTAATCTGGCTTCAAAGTACGCTCTGACACCAGTTAAATGTATCTTTGAACACAAATGGGCTTCAATAAGCCACGGCCTATAAGTATACCCCGTAACAGTCTTAAAATACATTTTGTTCTTTTGCCGTATACTGTGTATGTGCTTTGTAAAATTTGCTTTAGAAAGTGCACGAGTGAGTCCGTGCTTAAGTGAACAAATAGGCGGCTGGTGGGGGCCGGTTTAGACGTCCACTTTTTGACCGCCACAGAAGTGGGACTCGTTCGATTTAACAATTCATACCAAAGGCGTTGAATCCTCGGTCTTCACACCTGCATATAAATTAGGTAATGTGCAAATGAGTATAATTTTATGATATATAAGACATTTAAATCATAATTACGTTACATCATAATCGTAGGGGTTAATAGTAGGGGTTTTCTGAATGTGTGCTGTGAGCCATGAGTTAATTTGGTTGCAGCAGTGCAGTACAGACTTTTGTTAATCTGTTGCTGAATGAAGGCCTCCCCCATGCTATGTCAGTCATGGGGGGGGGTTCTTTGACTATTCTTCACCATGCTGGTCAGTGACCATGTAACAATGCGTTGCAACATGTAAAAATACATGCACAACTTGATTCTTACATCTGCATTTTTTATTTTTTCTCTCCCAAAGTCCCTCTTGCAAAATACATCGGTATCTCCTTACACTCTCACCTGATTAAAAACACTTTACAAAATGTAATTTGTTCCAGCCTCAAAGTAGACTGTAGAGGATATACACTCATGGCAATGTTAATACATACTATGCTGATGAATAATATCAATGTTGATAAATACGAGGAATAAGCAACATGAACACAGGATGTAAACTTTGTAACTAGCTCCATGGTGCTGCTGGTTGAATCATACAAGGGCACAGGTTCAAATCATGATCACTGGTCAATTCAACCTTCTTCCCCTCCTGGACCAATAAGATGTGTACCGCTTTGCAGGAAGTCAGTAGTGATATTTCAAAGGAGAAAATGGTACCTGCCATGGAATTGTGGAATAATTACCATCATAGGCTCAGGGTGAACAAGGGAGATCAGTGTTGCTTCATTGATTGCTATTTTGACTCAAGGGTTGGTGGATCTCACAAATGTTGTGAAACTCCCTTTTCATCGGTCTCGAGGTGCCCGAACCCCTGGCTAGCCAGCAGAAGGTGGTTTGGCAATTATGGACTCCACCTGCTTCAGCTGTATGGAAATAGTGTTGTCCCCTCTGCATGCGTGGGTTTCTCTGGGTGCTACAGCTTCCTCTCAAATGTAAACACTCATTGACCTTCACATATCATAGCCATCAACCCATATACCCTAATTCTTGAAGAGGGAAATTGAGTTTTCAGATCCATACGGCGTACAGCTGTTTCAATACAGGCAAAAAAATTGTCTATTTGTTTGTTTCTCTTTTGTGATGGGACTTTGTAGGATGAACGTTGAGATTTATAATTCAGACCGATAAGGTCTGAATTGATATGTAATAAGGTAGGCACTGATAAGGGGTTGACAGGTATGAATTATATATTGAGGACCGCAAAGCTTGGGGGGAATTTGGCACAGGCTTGCCACCAGGCTGCCCACTTGTCTGTGGTTCCTTGTACCTCTGAGTCGTTCCCTCTCTTTGAGCGTGAACAAATAATGCGTGTGTTACAAGTTTAAACTATTATTCATGTTAGAATCTACATTATACGTTGTTTTATTCTTTTCCTTTTCCCATTTAATTTCAAATGCGCGATTGGCATAATCTGACGAGATAAAAAAAAAATATTGAATTCTTCCAGAGGGGAGTGTGTCCCATGTCTGAGAACAGGTGTGGGAGAGACTTCTGAGAAATCTTTCCAGCGACCTTTTGGGTTCTTTACACAACAGAGATTATTTATTCCCATACACTCGACAATGAGATTGTCGTACGGCTATCGAACTGACATTTAATTCTCACATCTTAAATTCAGCCGTGTGAAGTGCAAAACCGTATTTTATTTAGTTGTTTTTTTATGCATTCTTTTGGCAGCTGCTCTGAGACCGTCACCTCGTTGCACCTGTGAACCCGGTTTATTTATTCGTCGGTGGCTGCTGGGATGCGAACCCAAGCATCTCAGCGATGCCAACTCAGTGCCCCAATCTCTGAGATACTCAGCCACCTCATATGTCCTCTTTAATGACAAAATGAAATATGATAAGTTACCATCGGCCGTGTGGTGTTTTGTTTTGCAGGAGTTTGACTTGCTCTACTACTCCCTGAGCAGCGCGAGAATTTTCTTCCGAGCTGACAAAACGGCAGCCGAAGAGAGCCAGGAGAAGAAGGATGGTAACTATTAATTTACCTCCTCCACACCACCGTGGCAAGTCAGCGCTGGCAATTTGGAATAACCTGTCAAAATAAATTCTGCAAGTGATTACAATATCACACTGTTGTGACACATCGGAACGGCATATCAAACTGCATTGTTTGAACAAAGTAGTTAAATGTTTAGTTTTAATTGTAAAAGCTATCCATCTTGTTGGGCAGATATATTGGACAGCACTGGCATGTGACCTTTAAACCTTGCACAACTAATCTATGCTCAATTGCAATTAACCTTTCGAATAGATTTTTCGCCTGCTTTGTATTGTAGTGTGTAGTAAGACTGATGTCTGACCGACATTGACTTTTATTTCAGACGAAGCCATTAAGAATGGTGCTGGTGACAGTGTTCCAACGTCTGCGGCTACCACCGGTATTTAATAAACACGAATGAGAACATTAGTCGCGACCACGGTAACAAATATTGCAGAACGGGAACATGAATAGTTTACACGTCAGCCTCAATGTGTCTCTGCTCAACCATGCACTGGGCGACGATCACCTTAACTGGCAATCCAGATTAACGGAAATTCTACGTTCTTTGGGCAAGGACAAGTATGGCCCGTAGTACAATCACTGTTTATGTTTTACCAAGTGGCACATATTTGCCAGATAGTGCTCATTTTAACAAATAGAGAGGGATAATGACCATGATTAGCTAAGTCAGCCTTGGGTGGTCTCTTGACGAGAAACCCTGGGGCTCTAACAAGTGAACTAAATTTTAGACACTAATAGACATTCACATTAAATCCTCCCTAAATAAATGCACTTGATTGCAGCTTTCGTGGGAAATTGAAATAATAAGTAGCATATTGGTTTATTTTAAAAAAATCAGGACAGGCAAACCCTGACTTACGAACGGGTTCCTTTGCTGAGACTCATTTGTAAGTCGAACGGTTTGTAAGTCGGAACACAATAATGTACTATTGCACTTTATTTAAATTCCCATATGGTCAGTGATTTAAAATGTGTCACGGTTCAACAAAAAAGCGAAGCATTAAACTCATAAACAAATATACATTTTCATGTAATACAGTGATAAAAACTGGATAGTATATATAACGTAACATAAAATAACATGAAAAGAGAAAAATCTGTTTTATTTTCACTTGAGTCATGATGCTGGCTTTCTTGTCGGAAGGGGCGTCTTGAGTTTTCACAATTACACACACATACGGCGGCACGTGCACACACAACAACAACAACGCGCACACACAACAACAACGCTCACGCACAACAACAACGATCCCCGGTATAGCCTGAACAAACTGTTGCGGCAAGCGCTGTTAGCGAGTACCTATGAAGGCTGGCACAGCACACGAGGGAGGTCAGTGGCCAGGACCACCCCAGGCCGCCTTTGACTCCCCAATGGCGATGTTTGCACACCGCACCAGATACTCATTTGAGGCTGAGGTGACCTTGGAAAGGCCCAGTACCAGTTCAAATAATCGTCACTGGTGTTGGTCGTGACCAGGAATCGAACTCGGGTCGCCGGGTTTGTAGCGCAGCGCGGTGATCATTGCACTACCGCTCCTCACGCACAAACGGGGGCACGCGCGTGCACACACACACGCACACACCCTCTCACACACACTCACTTACACATACTCACTTACACATACACACTTTCACACACACACGTGCATGCGTGCGTGCACACACACGCACACAAACACTCATTCCGGACGGGATTGCGGGGTCTCATTACATTTCGCGGCGAATCACTTCGCTGAACAAAATAGTTCCGTGGTTCGATTCTCAAGTGCGTTGACAAGTCTGATGGTTAGAAAATAAAATAAATATCTTATGGAAGCTCGTTCGTAAGTCGGTGGCTGCCTGTACTTAGTCTCAAAATATAGATTTGTGGCTTTTTCCCCCAATGATATTCCAGTGAACAATGAGTATGACGTCAAATACATTCCAGTCTCAACTCATCAAATAGCCATTGCATACCCTGTAAGAATCTCACTGGAGGATAATGTCACGTTAATACTTATAAGTAACATAATTCTTTCTGCAGTCACTTAAAAATATATTTTTACACATGCGACACACCCTTTATATGCTGTGCAAAAGAGTGTTTGTCACACAAAGTCGTTTCATTTTTGGAGATGAAACACTGTACTCTAAATGAACTGGGACATTTAATACTGTGGGTTTTATTCTGCAGTAATTGATGACAGCTGAGATCATGATTTACTGCCCTTCATTACCCTGTTTAAACATGGGTGGCTGAGACCCAGATACAGTATTACAGCCGTGCCGGCTCAAAGTTCTGGCTTCTGAGCCCCAAGCCCTCTTGATATTAATTTGAGCAACACTGCAATGGCAAGATTCGTAAACAGAGAGAGAATACTTGAAAGGAAGACTATTATCTACCTTATAATTTAGAGTACCATTTTTAGCATTAAATCCTTTCCAATGTATTTTTGCATCGCAGGGTATGTATTATGTTTAAATACAATGTCCTTAAACTACCGTTTGTAATAATACATTATTTGTTTTTTATATTGCGCCCTTCACGCTGGGGTGTCTCAGAGAGCGCTTTCTCCATCATAAGTGACTTACATCACATCTCATCTTAAACATTTGAAAGGGTCTCCGCAGTGGCAGCTGTCTCTTTGCAGCACAATGTAACTCAGCACCTGGCCTACAATCAGGCATTAGTCTAGGGGCCAATGATTACTCTGTGTTAAGGATTTGAGTAAATTGCAATTCCTTCTTCAAATTTGGCAATTTTGGACCATAATGCTAGCACACAATGTAAACTGCAGTTTCTCTCTTAAGTATCGCTTGGTGACTTCCACAATTTTGCGTACACAACTCGCCACAATTGCTCTTGCTCCATACAACAAAGGAAATAATGAAGTGGAAAGAAATAAACTACGAGAATTGGGTACATTGTTGTCATGTTGTGCAGTACAACCTTCTCAAGCCTCTTCTGCTGCACAATTGCAAATATAAAACGTTGTTCTGAAACACCCAGTGGCTTCATTCTTCATACTGTGAAAAAGTTTTTGTTTTAGGACCATGCATATAAATATATTGATAAAGTTGTAAAGCAGAAATATAGATGAGAAACATCTGTTGCAGCCCTCAGCTTTGTTTGTATAATTTCTCAAAATATTTAAACAAAAGCGATTTTGTTTACAGTTACTGTGCAGTGTGCATTTTTTTTTTCAACTGCCCTTTGTATTTGTACAGGTGAGGTGGTACCCACTGCTGCACGTCTTACCTCAATGGGGCCTGCAGTACCAGGTGGCCCACCGCCACCGCCACCACTTCCTCCAATGTGAAGTTCTTCCCACTCGACGATAGCTTTCACACCTCCAATTAGCACTTTTGGCTACGTACGGTGCGGAAGAAGTCCCAAGAAAATACATAAATACATGCTGCCCAGACACCATATATATTTTAAATTCTTGACTGGATCTGTACACAAAGGTATAAGTATAATTAAAATTGATTTGGCACCCAAATGTTATGAGCATCTCAATTTGCTTTACAGGGCATGTTGAATAAACAACACAGAGACAGAATACATTCTCATGCAAAATTGTAACTAACAACTATTCGAAAAACCCTTTCCATTAAGGCACATTTTTTATTGTTAATATTTTTTTCTCTCTTTCTGCTGCCAGGCAGTTGCGATTACAGTATTCAAATGTTGAGATTTCACATCCGACTTAGGGGCTTGAATGAGCTCATTCTCCCTCTGCAATCAATAAAATTAATTATTTCTTTAAAAGTGAGCACACCGTATTGCTCGTTTGGTCAGGGAGACACAATGACCTTCCTCTTTTGAACACATTTTTCCGCCATTGAGAGTTCTTCACCAATTGATGCACTTTCCATTTTATAATCGAATCTGCTGAAAGCAGTGCTGCATATTGGTTTTTGCTGACATTTGAATACATGCAGTACTACCCTGTGTGCTCAACAGTGCTATTGTATTCATTTTCCTTTTTTCCATGTGCATGACACGTGTGCAATTCTCGCTTATAAATTAGCATAAACCAATGTCACACAACGGTTGTATATTTAACATTGAATTATGCGTGACTTGATTAGCTGTTTTGTGGTCGTTGTGGCTTTAGGATAAAAGGGTGATTTAAACCAAATATGAGCCTATACATTTATTAATCCCTGTACAATAATAGTGCAACGATACACCTATAATATTCAAATGTTTGCATTTATGATTCGAAATAATGCTTGGCAAGTTGATCTCAATGTTAAAGTGTATGGATAATAAAAGTATAAAAAGGTAATGTTTAATTTGAATTTTTTTACGACAACAAAGAGATAAATTACAGTTGGCAATCTCTGTTTACTGCCCGTTTGATGTGCCAGTTAATTTTCCAAAGGTAACGAGTGGCGAAATGTGATTGGTCATTTTACAGCCATTCCAACTGAATTCCTGAAATAGGCAAAAATGTGTGAATTCCTAAGGCAGTGAACGTAAATTCCAATTAATGGGCCTTTCAGATCCTAATACTGATTAAATAAGGTAATCCCAGACCTGTCTGCCATGAGCATCCTCAGTCTCATGAACAAGGTACAATAGGCTAAACCGATGGAACTTGGTAACTACATATTGGTAAAATTTTGATTTAAAGCTTTCGTGACTGCAGGGATTCATATTCTTGGTTCTTTCGGTAAAGTCACGTAGAAGGGAAACAAATAATAAAAATATAAAACAATAAAATTATCACGACGTTTCGACAGCAACACAAGCAAATCATCATCAGGTGTGAAAACCACAGCAAGAAAATTTGAAAAAAGTGGCGGGTTTTTTTTATAGTTAGCACCACGGAGAGTGATTTGGCAGTTATTCAGATGTACAAGTCGATCTATGTTCGGAAAAGAGGAGGGGGGAGACGAAAAATAATGGATGCGGTCTGAAAGCCACCTTAAGCGTGATCAATCAATTAAGACCCGAAATGGTTTATCAAATCCTTCCAATGATTGCTAAGCCAGAATCCATCTTCTTGGTTGAAATTGTCTCTGTTTGTATATGTGGATAGCCTCATGAACGAATCTCTCATGGTAGCCAGATGGCTTGCAAAAGCTAGACGTGAACAAATTCGTAATTAATCGCAGTAACAGTTCTATTTCCGATGGTCGGAAATCCGTTTTAGCTAAAGGGCTAAACTTTGCAGTCACACCTAAACACATACCAGTTAATGATATCATTGCCCAAATAGACGTGGCTCTCAAGAGCCTGGGTCACATTGCTGCAGACGTAGCAAGATCAGAAATCGCTGCAACCCTCAAAAACGCTAAGATGCCAGCTAGCAACCTCAGCAAAGATGAGCATTTTGAATTATATAAATTAAAAAAGAGGGATGACATTGTCATCCTTTCAGCCGACAAGGGCAATGCCACTGTCATCATGGATAAAATAGAATATAACAACAAAATTCAAGAATTACTCAACGATGGCAGCTATACAAAAATAAAAAGAGATCCCACCAACAGCCTCGTCATGAAAACCAACAAAATCATTTCTGATTCAACCACATTAATTGATCAAACCAAACAGTTCTCGTTGAAACCTTCTGCTGCCAGGCCACCAAGATACTGCTTACCAAAAATACATAAAGTAGATACACCCCTTCGTCCCATTGCCTCTACTATCAACTCCCCCACCTACAAACTGGCTCGTTTTCTGTCAGAAATCCTGTGGCCTTTCACTGGGAAAAACCACCTCTGCGGTGCAGAATTCTACTCGCCTGTTATCGACAATCAAGGATATTTCCCTGTCCCCAGACGACCTGCTTGTCAGTATTGATGTATCTTCTTTGGTTCTTTCGGTAAAGTCACGTAGAATGAGAATAAAATAATAAATTGATAAAATAAAATAACAATAATATTCTCACGACGTTTCGGCCACAACACAAGCGGCCTTCATCAGGTGAAGGGGGCGAGACTGTCTGGTAGGACAGCGCTGGAGTGAAAGAGCCACGTTCAGATCACGGCCTTTAAGCCTCAAATTTTGCTGAAATTTGAGGCTTAAAGGCCGTGATCTGAACGTGAAATTTGAGGCTTAAAGGCCGTGATCTGAACGTGGCTCTTCCACTCCAGCGCTGTCCTACCAGACAGTCTCGCCCCCTTCACCTGATGAAGGCCGCTTGTGTTGTGGCCGAAACGTCGTGAGAATATTATTGTGTTATTTTATTTTATCCATTTATTAATTTAATTCTCATTCTACGTGACTTTACCGAAAGAACCAAAGAAGATGAATCATTGCAGTCACGAAAGCTTTAAATCGAAGTATTGATGTAGTTTCGTTATTCACCAAAAGTTCCTGTACCTGACACCATCGCAATCATTGAAGACTTGGTTCATCAAGGACTAAATACTGAGGTACCCCCCCCCTGGTGAGACACTGCTTAGCCAATACATACTTCACTTGGAATGGAACTTTCTACAAACAGAGGGCACCCCAATGGGCTCCCCCCTTTCTCCGGTTGTAGCCAACATTTTCATGGAGAAATTTGAAACTGACGCCATCCAGACTGCCACTCTGCGCCCAACCTTATGGAAGAGGTACGTGGATGACACGTTTGTCATCTGGCCACATGGCCGGCCTGCTCTCGACCAATTCTTCGACCACATCAATTCCATACACCCAGCCATCAGATTTACCATGGAAGTTGAAAAAGATGGCAAGCTACCTTTTTTGGATGTCCTAATAAAAAAGAGACCTGATGGTTCAATGAGCCTCTCTGTCTACAGAGAGATACCCATACGGATGCTTACATGAAACCGGATTCCCACCACCATCCATCCCAGAAGAATTCCCTCATCAAGACTCTGCACCATAGAGCCCAATGCATATTCGACCAGGAACACATAGCCAGTGAACTCAAGCACGTACACCAAGCTTTTAAAACTAATGGTTATTCCAACTACACAATCCATAAAGCTATCACTCCAACCATGAATAAGGACCCTCTTGAGGATCCTTTCAAAACCATCACTTTATGCTACATTGCGGGGATCACAAAAAATATATCCAAAATCTTGAATAAACACAAGATCCAGGTCTGATTCAACACATTACATAAAATGCGTGATTTGGTTTCGTCTGTAAAAGATATGATTCCAGACATACAGTACCCTGGCGTCTACAAACTACGTTGCCTCTTTGGTAGTAGTTACATTGGAGAAACCAAACGACATGTCTCGGACTGCATTCGTGAACACAAAGCAGACCTGAAACATGGTAGGACCGACACCTCGGCCGTGGCAGATCACTGTTATTATTCAGTAGGCTCACATGACATTGACTTCTCTAAGACAGAGGTTCTTTGCAAGCCATCTGGCTACCATGAGAGATTCGTTCATGAGGCTATCCACATACAAACACAGAGACAATTTCAACCGAGAAGATGGATTCTGGCTTAGCAATTATTGGAAGGATTTGATAAACCATTTCTGGTCCGAATTGATTGATCACGCTTAAGGTGGCTTTCAGACCACATCCATTATTTTTCGTCTCCCCCCTCCTCTTTTTCGAACATAGATGGACTCGGCCATCTGAATAACTGCCAAATCGCTCTCCGTGGTGCTAACGTTAAAAAACCGCCACTTTTTTCAAATGTTCTTGCTGTGGTTTTCTCACCTGATGATGATTGCTTGTGTTGCAGTCGAAACGTCGTGAGAATTTTTTAATTGTTTTATTGTTTCCCTTCTACGTTACTTTACCGAAAGAACCAAGAATATACATATTGGTAACTACACCAGCCATGCGAAAGAAGAAGTCTACATGTTATGGTGACCGAGTAGTCCTGATATTAAGCCACTCGGTAGCATTGCTCGAACATGAAAACAGATGCATAATTTTATCACCACTATTCTGTACGTAGAATTATTCATATGCACCCTAAACAAAATACTGTGCTCTAGCCTTACATGGTCACACCTGTATTCATCGCTTTGGAGGAAGGCATCAATGGATCATTCTGATTTCTCAACTTTCCAAACCTACTGCACTGAGGTGAGTGGGAGATAGCAGTACAGCAAGTGGGTGTCTTGTCCGTTTATAACCTCATTCAACAATTTCCTGTGGGTGTTCTGGTTTTTTTGGACAAAAAACATCCCAATGAAGGACGCTCCTGAAAAATCAAGCCTTGAGAGTGATTAAGGCCTTCCTGCGTTGTTGAAATTGTTTTACTATCATCGGTGATATTACATAGCAACACAAATCTTGAAGCACAACCAGTGCATTCCTATGTGTGATGAACAACATGGAACAGGCACATTTAAGATTGCGAAGGTTCAATTTGCTGTTTGGTGAAGCTCAGAGACCCTGACTAATGACGTCCCTAACATAGGGACAAACTGCTTTTGCTTAAGGATTGCTGTGATTAATTGTTCATGCCTATATTTAGAGCTAATTTTAAGAACCCCAATTATAAAATCAAGTGTACACTACATCTTAAAAATACAGCATTCTTTAATTAAGACGAGTCCCGTTAAATGTAGAATGATTTTTTCACTTAACAGCTTGCAAGTGTTTTGTTACCATTCGCCCCCAAAATGTCCAATATTAATTTATTTTAAATACACTTCTAAAATCAGATATTGTCGATTGCTATGTTCTGAGGATCTGAAGTGATGTGCTTAAGGCACCTTGATTGATGGTAGTGTAGATTGTATTATTTGCCACTGTCTCGTGGTTTAATTTACATACAGTAAGTACATGTGTGGGTTATTAATGTTTGATCACTGTGTTGTCCTTCATAATTTTTCTTTCCTGTGGTTGTGAATTTCAATATATATCAACTCGGATGGCATTAACATTCCAAGTGCAACTATGTAACATTGCTTCTTTAGAGCTCGTGTAAACAGCTACAAAGTGTAGTTTTCAACAGACATTATTTTGCTCAAAGGATTTCAGATGACAGAAACATTTGGGTGATGGATCATTTAATGTTGTGCATGCTGGGAATTAAACCAATTAAGATACTGCAGGTCACAAGAACACAAAGACAAAGATCCCCCGTATAGTCCTACCAGACTTTGGGCAAGTGCTGTTAGCGAGCACCTATGAAGGGAGGCACGGCACACGAGGGGCTGGGTGGCCAGCAACGCACCCGATCGTCTTTGTCTCTATAATGGTGATGTTTACACACCGCACAAGGTACTCATTTGAGGCTGAGTCGACCTAAGGGAGGCCCAGGACCGGTTCAGATGTCATCGTCACAGGAGTTGGCCGTGAGCAGGAATCGAACTCGGGCCCTCCGGGGTTCGTAACGCATAG